GTATTAGAAGACACTCGCTGACTATCTAAGTTCAACATTTCATAAAGAGGCTCTTCATTCTTTACCTCGTCCTTCTTTGGAAACTCATTTTCTAAAAATGTGACATCTCGTGATTCAATCTCAGTAACACTTCCATCCTCTAATTCACCAATGAACACATACCCTTTGGAGTGTTTTGAATATCTTATAAAGATACATTTTTTGCCTTTTGGACCTAATTTACCAAACTTGCTAAAAGAATCTTTTACATATGCATTACAACCCCAAGGTTGTAAATCACTTAAGTTTGGTTTATGACTAGTTCATAGATCATAAAGAGTGGAAGAAACTAATTTAGAAGGCACTTTGTTCAATATGTAGGCTGCAGTCAATAATGCATCTCCATAAAAGGAGAGGTAAATTTTCATGTGCCATCATGGACCTTATCATGTCCAATAGTGTTCTATTCCTCCTTTTTGCTACACCATTTTGTTGAGGTGTGTAAGGAATAGTTAAATGTCTTGTGATGCCCTTTTCACTACACAATTCTTCAAATTATTTTGATAGATATTCACACCTTCTATTGGTTCTGAAGGTCTTAATCTATTTGTCTAATTGATTCTCAACTTCATTCAAATATTTCTTAAAGCATTCTAGTGCTTCAGATTTATGATAAATCAAATAGACATAACCAAAGCGCGTAAAATCGTCAATAAACGTAATGAAATATAATGCATCAAACCTAGCCCTCGCATTCATTGGACCACAAATATCATAATGTATTAATTGCAATAAAAAATTAGCTCTCTTAGCCTTTCCAAATGATTTACGAATAATCTTTCCGGCAAGACAATTTTAAGAAGTTAGCATTTCAATTTTAGAGAAAGAACCTAAATGTCCTTTCTTAGCCAATCTATTCATTTGATCATGCCCTATGTGACATAATCTTGCATGCCATTTAATAACATCAACAACATTATTACTAGAATAACACGCCATAACACAACGGTCAACATAATAATTATACGTATAAGGATTATAATCTAAAATAATAAAACCATCATAACGATGTCCAAAACCATAAAAATATTGTCTACAGTAACCATTGCGACTAAATTTAAAATTAAAATCTAAATCTAGAAGAACAAACACTGAGACTATGTTTCGTCGAATCTCTAAAATATATAGGACGTCATGCAACATCAATGATCGGCCGCCACACATGTCCATTCTGCAAGTGCCTATCCCTTTGCTTCAAGCATTGCATTATTTTCCACATATACATGTCGTGATCCAGGTGAAACTCGACTAAACTCTATAAACGCTTCTCTATCACGGCTCACATGCCCGGTGGCCCCTGGGTCTACAATCCACACAGGATACAATTCGATGTAAAACAGTGCTAGAAACATATATAGTACTTAGAGATGCATTTTGAAATGCTACCTTTTTCAGCTCAGTGAACTCACGTGCAAAATACCCTGGAACTTGGCAATTGTAGTACTTCATCTTACTCCTATCTTTCTTCTTGTAAAACCATTTTTCTTTCTTGAAATTTTGCTTGTTTCTTTTCTTGGAGGATCTTTCTCCGGTCTCCTTACCCTTTCTGTTATTTTTTCAGTTTTCCTTACGCTTGAAGCTTGAACTCTTTGTACCACTTGATTCTGCCACAAAGGCATGAGGTACAACTTTAGTAGCACCAAGACGCTCGTCTTCAAGTTCTACATGACGGGCAACATCAGCAAAAAGTTTGATGTTGTCATTGTGGGTCAAGTTAACCTTCAAATATTATCAATTATTGGGAAGAGACCGGATCACTACCTGAACCTACTGCTTATCGGAGAGAACATGACCAACACCTTTCAGTTGAGAAATCATGTTTGAAATCACCCTTAAGTGTTGCTTGAAACTGTGATCATGACGCTTCTTGTACATATCAAACTTGATTGTCGGTTGTCTAAGGTGAGTAACAGTTGTACCGCCATATGTCTCTTTTAAATATTCCCACGTGGCTTGAGCAGTAGAATATTTCTCACATCCATGCATGAGATCAGCACTGAACTTACAATAATTCCATGTGTAGTGGAATCTTTCTTTTTCCAAATATTTTAAGTTTTCAGATCCCTCCTGTGTTGGGCAGTGTTACCCTCCTCTAGGTGACTCATAACATGGTTAATACTTTCAAAAGCATCATTCTATTCGAGTACATACCACATCTTACGACTTCAAATGTTGTAATTTTTACCATTCAGTTTGTCACCCTTGTTCAAGTCAGTAATGATACTTTTTGATGCCATGTCTGTTACTAGAGACAATATTACAGGTTTAACTCATCAATATATTCTTCAGTCAATTTATGCATGTGATTGCACACCCAAGCAAATTAATTATAATATTAATTGTATATTTAGTATAGAATCAAAATGTCACTAAATTTCTATTCATCATCTATATCTAAATATTTTAATTAATATTAAAATCACTTCTTAGTATGTGCTTAATTCCAAGTCTCAATTGATTACAACACAAAATAATAGATAATAAATGTAACTAGTGAGACGAACAACCAAAAAAAAAATTCAAACTTCATTAAAATAAAACACATAATAACAATTTACATGTTTGCTAGGACATACATATACCAACTGAATACTAACTCTTGCACCTATACGCTAAAAGGGGAACTAGGCCAAATATCATAATAAATATCAATTAAAACTTCACCCCAAGGCTCTCGAAGAGAGTCCGCTAAAATAGTTAACGCTTCCCACTCAGTAATCTCTATGTAATTAGACAATTCAGCTCTTTTTAACTGAAAAATGTGTACATGTTCATGAATGGAAGCATCAGAGCCCATTTTAAATTCCTTAAACTCCCTAAATTTCTTTTTACCTTCCCTTCGCTCAGCCCTGTGATCCCTCAACTCATTTTGCATCGCTCTCGGGACATTCCTGATGACTTTAGGCTCCGACTCTGAATCATTATAGAAGTAAGTCCTGCGACGATGCATCCTTCTATGTCGTCTCCTTCCTAGAGTTCGAGAACTCCCACTTGGAGTAATTCGAACTTATCCCTGTTTAACCATGTCTGAAATAGGACCAAGAAAACAATAAAAATGCGTAGAACCATTCAATGTGACAACATATGTCACAATAACCGGTAGAAGAATCGGGATAACACGGACTAAGACTAGTATTCTAAATATTAAAATATTCAGAGAAGGACTTAAAGAATATATGTGTAAGTCTACATAGACAGTGGTATAATTATTTCCTACAGATTCATATTGAAGTCAAGTGGAGACAACAAAAAAAAAAAAATACACGCACACACAACGGACTTTGAAAGTCACAGCCACTGTTCTTTTGTTATTGTTGACAATGTTAAAGTAAGATATTCTGTCACTAATTTAAGAGAAATATTACAAAAGGTTTCTACATTGCCAATGATACAATAGCAATTTGTACAGGAACACATTTCATATATTGTGTATCAGTTTTAATTAGATAAATGGCAAATGTCTCATTCACGTATAACCACAAAGAGGTGTTGTCTTATAACACTTTGATTTGACATAAAGTAATTATTATTGCAATTTTCAAGAAGGAATGGGATCTAAAGACAGAAAAGTATTAAAGAATACATATACAAGTTCCTCTTCATATTAACTACAAACCCTATGATGGCAGGAAGCCAAAAATTTATACACAAGAGCAGCCAACAATATCGTAAGGTTATACATGTGAATCTTTTTTTATGATTGAAACATACATTGTTACATAAATCGACAGATTTCAAAACAGTGATACAAAATCGATAACGATTTTCTCAACCCAAAAGTAGATTAATATTCAATAGTGTATTCAAAAGACAGAATACAACCACTTACTCTGAAACCAATGATGATTTAATAGTAACAAGGATATCGAATTTGTGTACCTGTTAACAGCAGCGAAAATTTTTACAGAACCTGTTTCAATCAATTGCTCCAATCCGACTTCGTCTCCCTTGGAAATGAAATTCTTGTTCACGAACTAAATAACTTGTTTTTGTTTATCACACTGTGTTTCTTACTTTAGGGAGAATCTTTCACACCCATTCTCGGTTGAGGAAGAAAATATATAAAGGAGAGAGAGAGAGAAAGAGGTGTTTCAAGAAAAAATTGTCACTCGCACAAACTGATCGCACATCCCCATTATTTTAAACGTGCACCAATTTTTTCTTTTATTTATCTATATTTTAACGTCCCTAGGCAACCTCTTTAAGGTTTTACCTCCTCAAAATGGGTAGGGTCAGTCCACATGGGTGACCCGCGACCCAAACCCAATATCCAACACATACTTTGTGCAAGCGTTATCAATTCCCTCTTAATTCCCCTCAACTTCATTTCCTGGATCCATTGATATCATCAACTAGGGCTGTTCAAAACTGAACCGTAATCGTTAACCGAACCACCAAATTGACTTATAGGTATCGGGTTATCGGGGTAATGGTTAGTGAACGGATTGAGATTTTATAATTAACGGCTTAACGATTTGTGGATGGATTACTCAATTTCCTTATCGAATAAACTGTTAACCTGTTAAGAACTTTTATATTTGTACTTTTACCTCTACGTAACTAAAGTACTATTTGAAACCCTATCCTTATCTATAGGAATTTATTGGGAGACCAATAAGGGTGGCATACAGTAAAAGATTTCTGAGAGCAGAGACCAAAAAGAATCTCCAGTCCCAAAAATTATCATCTGAATTGATCTCCGTGGCAGAATGAGCTTAAGCTGCTGGAATTTGAAAGTTATTCTTGTGAGGAAGTGAGTTTCCACGACCCTTTGTTTGTATAGTAGAATCCAGGCTGATATTTTGAAAAAAATTGTATCAGAAATTTTAATATGGCTTAATATACGTTCCATGTTTCTTTTGTTGCATGTGTTATCCGAATTATGTTTTGTTTCCTATTTCTTCTTTTTGTTTAGCGACGAGGACAAAATATTTAATCAGGAATAAGTTTCAAGACAAAAGTTCACCATGGTAATTGAATGCAATACAAAGGTATTGTCTATTTGATTTATCCGATAAACCGTCCGATTACCGCCCGATAATCGCTAATACGTTACCAAAACATTTAGGCCAACCAAACATGAAAAAATTGGAAAATATTTTCCGAAAAATATTTTCCTTCATACCAAACACACCCTTAGTCAATAGGGTGCATATCCACGCATATGGCAGCTATATTTGTACGAGAGAAAAAATTTTGAATGGTTAATTTCCTTGAATAAAGTGTGTCTTCACTTGTCTTTCCATCCCAGCTCAATGGCTCTTATCTCCCACAATGCCGAGAGCTTGCGCTCTTCTATCAATGCAGCTTCAGCCATTTCCCTAGCACCCTCGCATGCTTCCATCCCCATGTTGCACTTCTCCGTCTCTTTTTGGTAATGTGAAGATGCTCTCTTGGCACTCATAATTAGAGCATTGGTGTGTTCCAGATTGTCATCAGTGACATTTTTGTGCAAGTTAATTTCCTCTGACAATAGACTAATAATGTCCTTTTTCATCTCGTCATTCATATCAGGATCATCTTTACCACAGTCTGCATCCACACAAAAAAACATGATGCAAGGGATTTTAAGACGCAGCTGAAAAAAGAGTAACAGAAATAAAGAGCGACTCCACTGCATGCAGTCATTCTGCATTCAATCCCTACACTGGAATGGGTCACTTCCTCTCCTTCAATTCAAAGTCATATACAGGTTGCAATTTTATACTCAGCTTGTCTACAATCTCAAACTATCATCTAACAGAATTACTGATTTCTTTCATCTTTTTTTTTATAACCGAGAAATTCCCCAGGGCCAATAGCACAACAGAGGCAACAGAATTACTGAATTCTTAGGTTCCTAACTTGATAGAAAAGGCAAAAATGGGTTAAAGGCTCCTACATAGTGTGGCATTATTAGTCCCCCGCCAAAGCTATTCATCATACAACTGTGTGAGTAGTTCCAAAATTTCTGTAATTTCGGCAAATAAATTCATAAACTTGTCTGAACAACTTTTTTTTTTTCCTTTTTTCCCGGTCCACTACAACTTAAGAGAAACATATTTAAGCAGAAAACAAAAAACTTCAACCAGAAAACTAAAGATGCAACATTTCACTTTATATCTTGAGATTGTATAATTTTACATAAGACAATTTTCAGGCTTTGAAACAAGAGCAGTGAGCTAACCTTCCAATGAATTGTTGAAGACATCTGCAAAATAACACATAAACCGAAGATGAGTCATAACAGCCAATACTAATATGCATCTGGAACAAAAAATATCACCGTTGCTAATTTTGCATCGCGAGAAATAAGCATTTGCACAATTCCTACTAGTTTTCCACCATAAAAAGGCCCCCCCCCAAAAAAAAAAAAAAAAAGAGGAACTATGGAGAAAAGGCATGATTTGACATTTTTCCTATAAGCCAAAAGAGTTTGGATGGTGGCACTGCAGCATGATTAAAACCTTATTTCTGTTGCTTTGGAAAACTCTAAAGGACTAGCACTGCAGTATACTGAATAATAAGAAATCTCATTATGGCAGAATCAACATTTATATGTAAAGAAATCAATCTAACTCTTCTATTGACTTGGAAGGCTAGACGGTCACTTCTTATAAGCCAAAAATAATTTGGCAAAACTTCTTCCCTGAAGTCTCTTCTGCTGCATTTGCTGATACAAAATTATCGAAACCGAAGTTAGTCGGGTATAGAGAACTTTTCCTATATGCCAACATTTGTTTCAAGATCTAATTGCCAAACTACTAAGATCCAGTTCTCAAAGGAATGATAATCTAAGGGTTGACACGTCATATCAACCCTATAGTTTATCTGGAGAACACAAGTCAAAGGTCTACAATTTCTATCATGATGCCCTCAAAGAACCATGTATTCCTTTTCAAGTGAGAGCCATATGTTTGACCTTTTTAAGTTTGTGAATTATCTTTCCAAGCAATAAGTAATAAATTCAGTACAAACATCAAACTTTACGGTACATTTCACTGCCTTGACTTACTTCCTTTAGGACATTCTATTACCATTAAGAACCTTCATCAGTTGAAATATGTGGTTCCTTCCTATTGTTAAGAAAGGACAAAGGATTCTACCTCATTTTTTACCATGACAAACACAAAAAGATAAACCCCGTGGAGGGTAAAGTGGGGTTCCGCTAAGTAGGCAGCTACAATTTTCTAAATTGGTTAATTTACTAATTAAATCACCAATTCCACATCTTGATGACAAGCACTGCAATGAATGTAAATCATAGGCTTTCCTTTTAAATTGTTGATTTATTAGTACATTAAATCAAAATCAATCAGTGTATATTTTACTAAAGAATAGCACGTGCTCGCTGCAGATAATGGCATATTCCCCTTTTTGGATGGGGAACTCTTCATTAAGTGCCCCCCTAATAAGAAATAAATAAGCATTCTAAATTTACACCTCTAAATGTATTAAACGCTTTGCTGGTTAGAAGCAAGAATTTCAGCAATTACTACTGTCTCAGCAGTTGAGCACTTCAAATTTAAAGCATCATCTTCCTTCATCAAATAAATGCATAAGCGAATGTAACATGCTTCAGAATGTAATGACCCATAATTTTTAGTCACTATATCTCTAATAAAGAAGCATAGAAATACAGGAAAACTAGATACAGGCAGATTTTGTAAATGGAAGGTTATATAAGAAAATGAACAGACCTAAAGGCAGAGAGAGGATGGAATCCTGAGAGCAATCACAAGAACAAGGAGGACATGAAGCCAAAAGAGTAGAGCTGTGCCACAGCCTTGGTGGTCTCACAATGTAAAGAACCAAACACAAACCCAACACAACCAATACAAATCTCACACTACACAGCTTCTGCTCTGATGATGAGTGAGCCATAAATGTAGTTGCTCTCCTATAACAGGAGAAAAAAGCAAAGATTGAACCAATGTCAGATTTCACAGCAAACACATAGGATCAACCACCCAAAAAAAACACACACACCCACATTTTACCAAGGTTGAAAACGATCAAGATTTAACTTTAGTCTTCAACTCCAAACATTTGACAAGTCTGAATAGAAACCCACTTTGAAAAAATGGGTGTATTCGTGACCTCCAAAATGTGTAGAAACAAACCTTTGCCAGAACGACCCG